GTACATCCTTACTTCCTGCTTTTAAATATCTTTTTAAAACCTCTTTTTAAAAAAAAAAGTTGTAAATTAACATGCTCTTATATCTGTTTTATTGTATAGGTGTTTTGTATCTCTGTTGGTCCTATCTTTTTTTTATATTGTGGCAAACTTGCTGCTTTACATTGTGCTTTATAAATATACTGGCTTTTGGTTTCATGGGAAGGGTGTGTTTTTCCCTCATAGGAAATTGCCACTGGTCAGAGGACAGCATAAAGATGTAGGCATAATGACAGAAAACAGTCATGGAAATACAGCGGGTGATATAAGTATTGCACACGCCACCATTATTCTCTTAATATTTCTAGAGGTGCTATTGATATGACATTTTCACCTCATGCTGGTAACAATCCATGCAATCCACACATACAAAGAAACATACGATATATTTACAGAAATTAAGTTATGTGTAATAATGTGGAATGCCACTGGGAAAAAGTATTAAATGTGTGAAGAAAGGGAACAAAAAGGCATGGAAAGCCAAGACACCAGCCGACATCTCTGAGTAATTACAAAGCAATCCTTTCCTCTGTCAGTGCAAATTAACATCAGCAGGTTCAGTCCCAAATGGTGGCCAATAAAAATTGGTCTATGGTGTCACACAAGAAACATCTCATTATGGGTAAAAGTAAAGAGCTTTCTCAAGACCGTCACAACCTTAATGGTAGCATTGGTTACAGAAGGAATTCTAAATTTCTGAATGTTACAATGAGCACTGTTAGGGCCATAATCCTGAAGCGGAAAGAACATAATTTCACCATAAACCGACCAATTACCAGGTTCTCCTCACAAGATTTTTGACTGAGGAGTGAAAATAATCACCAGAAGAGTTGTCCAAGAGCCAAATACCACTTGTGAAGAGCTTCAGAAAGACCTGGAAGTAGCAGGTACAATTGCAATAATGGATGCAATAATGCACACCCTGTTTGGAGGTCAAATGGCACTGCACATCACCCCAAAAGCTCCCTACCAACAGTGAAGTTTGAAGGTCGGAACATTATGCTTTGGAGCTGTTTTTTTTAGAATAAGGTGCTGGCAAACGGTAAATAATTGAAGGAAGGATGAATGGAAAATTGTACAGAGACATTCTTGATTAAACATGTGCTGCCATTTACCAGGATGATGAAGATGAAACATGGGTGTATATTTTAGCAAAACACTGACCCCAAACATACAGCCAGAAAACTGTCAGTTGGTTTCAGAGAAACAAAATAAAGCTGGTAGAATGGCCCAGCCAATCACCTGACCTGAATCCAACAGAAACTCTTTGGAAGGAACTAAAGATCAGAGTTCAAAGAAGTCCCACGAAACCTTCAAGATTAGAAGACTGTTTGTGTTAAAGAATGGGCCAAAAATTACACCTGAGCAATGCAGGAGGCATCTTGAAGCTGTCATTGCCAATAAAGGACTTGTATAAAGTATTAAGTACATTACAGTAAGTGTGTTCAATACTTTGTCCCTGTGTAATTTCCCATTATTACTCATAACCTAATTTCTGGGCATCTATAGTTTGATATCTTTGTCTGTGTGGACTGCATGGATTCGTCTGGTGAAAATGTCATGTCAATAGAACCTCTAGAAATATATTTATTTAAAAAAATGGTGCCGTGTTCAATACTTTTTTTCCCTACTGTAGTTTCTGTTTCTTTATGACCGGGATGTGGGTGGTGTTGTCTGTTTGCGTTGAGAACAGTAGGATCAACTCTTATACTCTTGACTGCAAATGGTGTTCGGGCTTAATTGTGAGAACATTTTACATTTTGTTTAACAGTGATAACATTATCTTCTAGGGTTGATAGGCATCGGCTGACCTACTTTAAGCATCTGATTTTTAACTGTTTTATCTTGCTATTTTCCTTTCTATTATACATGACACCTTCAGCCGTGAAAGGAATAAAGAAGTTTGAAACCTCTCTGTTTAGATTAAAACTGGTCGAAGCAAGGCACAGCTTTGATAACACTCTCCGTCTGTTGCAATTCTTGCAAAAATTCATTAAAGTGCCGTTATGAATGATTTTCACAAATCTCCTTTGTTACTGAAATTATCGCCGTGTTAATTTTTTATTTTCAATATACACACTCTGGGAAAAGACCGAGTTTTTGTGTTATTTTACTTCAGCTCCATGGAAGAAAGTGGGTTTTAATGTTAAGCAATACATTTCCTGTTAACTCCACCGTGACTACGTGACCGACACAATAGAATGCTAGCAATAGTTTCCTTGCTTGACTGACTAACACACCCTAAATGAAATGTAGGCCATGAAATGAAGGACTAATGTAAGAGTCAAGTTTTCACTTTCTGTTTGTTTATGTTTTTATTTAATGATAAAAACATTAAAGCTTTCTTAGCGTTCATTCAAGGATCTTTTTTTAAAGAACTTTTTAAATGTGTCACTCATTTATATTTCTCCTCATTATTCACCATTTAAGCATGAGTGGATAAATGAATCATCGATTTGAACCTTTTTCTCATCTAAACAAAGCTGTAAGAGTTTTGTAGCAGAAAAAAATTAAATAATGTACATTTATTTTTGATAACTGTTCAGCCTAGACATATGAGCTTCAAAGATAATGACGAAGCACAAATCAAATCTTGTTTACCAGAGCAAACTTGTTTCTCATCGAATAAATGGATGTTAACAAGATAAAAGCACCACAAACTCCAATCTAGAAACTGTACAACCAGAGGTTGTATGTACTGTATAATAAGACACATGATGCATTATAGGACAAATGCATCTAACAGATCACATGTTGGAATTAGTTAAATGTATTCCTTTATTGTCAAAATAAAAACCCTACAATCTTTTAAGGGGATGGTGACACTTCTTATTTTGATGTTTATAGACTTTAGACCACTGAGGTCTTTTAAGGAAATTGTGTTTTGAAGGGTTGGTGATGTAATGCATGCATGCTTACAAACTAACTCACAGGGATTTTGTGGCAAACATAATGTGAACAATGCATTTCTGTAGAAACTTTTAAAGATAAGATCTGGTTACAACACTGAGAGAGGCAAGGCTGTCGTACTAAAGTCCCATCATCAGTAGATAATGGGGGTAAACTGTCTTGCCAAAGGACAATGAACTGAGATAAACTTGTCACCATCTGTTTGCAGGACAAATTCCTGCTTCTTAAACAACTGTCACCATATATGCCGGTGGAAATCATGGGATCAATATCCATTTCTAGAAAATATGGCCAGGTCCTAGGTTATGTTTACACCTTTTTGGGTATGCAGATTTTCTTCCATGGCTAGGAGGAAAAAATATCTGAATTTCTAAAAGCCACAAAATATTTCTGAGGTAACTTTGGCAAATATTTGCAGAGTGAGATAAGAGGTCTCTGCTCCGGGGCATTTCATTCACCAAATATGTTTTCTATACTTTATTCTGAAACAGAATATAGATTTGTTGTGTAGTTTTTTGCTGTTGTTTTGTTGTTTTTTTTAATCAGCGACTTAATTCGTGGGTGAGCGGTTAGGGTGTCAGACTTGGATCCCAAAGGTTACCGGTTCGACTCCTGACCCGCCAGGTTGGTGGGGGGAGTAATTAAACAGCGCTCTCCCCCATCCTCCTCCATGACTGAGGTACCCTGAGCATGGTACCGTCCCGCAACACTGCTCCCTTGGGGCGCCATTGAGGGCTGCCCCCTTGCACGGGTGAGGCATAAATGCAATTTCATAGTGTGCAGTGTTCACTTGGGTGTGCTGTGTCACAATGACAATGGGAGTTGGAGGAGTTTCCCAAAGGGCTTTCACTTTCACGCTTTCACTTAATTAGCTCAGTGTTTATTGTTTTATTCAAAGGATACAGATGTGCTCAGACATGCCAGTCTGACTCACAGTACTGTGATTGCAGTCATGGGTGCACAACTAAAAGCTAGCCTAAAGGGATGGTTGGGTGGTGGTGGTGTCATGTAGTAGGTAACTGATAGTTTATAAAAAAATCTATTAAAAAGATTATTTAAAAAGAGATACAGGGGTAAAAGTTGGCCCGAATATTCCAGCACTATGTACCAGAAAGATTTGAGGCTGTATGCTGTTCCGGGAAGATCTGCTGCCTGTTATTCTTTATACATTTTATTTATATAGCAGTAATTCGCAATCATCTCAAGGCACTTTACGGAGACAATGCAATCAGATCATACTGTCTGAATAGTTTAAAGCTTTCTATCCAAGGAAAATCAGTTGACTGTAGCGACTAATTGACTATAAAACAACCCCTCAAACCAAGCATGTGGTTAGTAACATGGGGGCGGAAAAACTCCCTTTTAACAGGAAGAAACCTCTAGCAGAACCAGGCTGATTAGTGTTCGGCCAACTGCCAAGGCCGACTGGTGTTCAAGCAGACAGAAACAGACATACAAAACAAGCATAGAGGCATTGATCTATAAATATTTTTTATGTTATGAAAGGTAGCGGTAAACTAACTCCTGAAGTACCTCTGTATATATATATATATATATATATAGGTTATACTGGTATATAATACAACAAATGACACACATCAATGTGGTTTGTCTGCCAGGTTTCTAGCCAACCTGGTATATCAGTGTTTTTGCAATATATGCAGGTTCTAAGGAAATAAAATGAAGCAACTGTGTATTTTAATATCCTACCATCACGAATATAGAACCACTTTCACCCTTGACGACGTGTATGTTTGCTATTTTTTCTACTTTTTGTAGAATAAACTAGTAGGCCTATTGAATATGATACCAATCATTGTAGCAGTGAAAGTTTTAAAATCCATAGGGTTTAAAAAATATCTAATTATAGTTTTTGTTCTCCTATGAAGCCACATATACGGCATGAAATGAGGTACATCATACAACAAATGACACACATTAATGTGGTTTGTCTGCCAGGTTTCTAGCCAACCTTGTAGTAAATGATTTATGGAGGGAGTTGAAAATAAAGGGGAGGAGGAAGTTTTCCTGTATTCCTCTTTTTGTCTGTCATTTTGGAACATTCGTAATTTTTCTTATATTTATCTTCTTTGCTCTCCTTTTCTTAAGCAGGAGAAATACAGACTTAATTCTGAACATTGGTCCTTCTGTGATTCTGAGAGATAAGCAAACCATCCCAGAGAGAATACTCAAAGGAATTTTTGGATTTTACTCTTATTCACCTATGGAATCATATGTGTTGGATTGTTTATTCTGTTTGCTCCCATCCTTCTTACTTTTTCTTTTTTATGTGGGTCTGCACTGTCCTAGACTGTGTGGCTGGGCAAGGGTGGCCGTCAGGGCGTCAAGCTGGAGACTCTGGGTCATTATCTGTCTAATCCTGCAGCTGCCTTTGCACAAGGAAAAAAGAACAAAGGCTGAGGACCTGAAATCACTTGAGACAGATATGGTGTCAGGTCAGGTCTCAGATGGACCCAAGCTTATCTGTAAACCCACTGCATTGGCCAGATATCTCCTGCAGCACTGTGGCTCTCTCACAAAGGCAAAACTGGCTGCTTGGCCTCGGGGAGACCCTCACCTCCAGACTTTCTCCAGCCAAATATTTGGAGAACATAGACAGAAGGTACAGTTCACCAGAGACCACCTATTACTAAAAGACGGGGGAATTGTAGCACTGGATTGGGCTATAGGGACGAGACTTATCGAGCTGACAGCGAAGAGGAGGTGGGAGGTGAAAAAAGAGCATCAATCAGTGAGGAAGACGCTCGGATGCTTCACCTCAACACCCCCTGTTCTTCTCCTCATCCCTCAGTTCTGGGGAGGGATGACACCCCACTTACAGCTGCTCTGCAGTCAGGCCATGCGGCAGGGTTTCTATGTGGTGGTGTTTCATCATCGAGGCACAGCGGGTTCCCCCCTCACCACAACAAGACTCACTGAGTTTGGAGACCCAAGCGATCTGGAACAGGTAGGCTACAATATATAAAAAAAGGAATAGCTGACTCAGCCTAAGTCAATCTCTCCTCTTAGTTTTCATAAATGGGGGAATCCTGTTTCAATCCAATTTATCTGTTTTTTTCAGGATGTATGGAAAGGGCAATTTTTTAAGAAGTCTGCCCCTTTAAACTGCTCCATTAGCAAATTTATATTTTTAAAATAAATATTTCACTGTTAAAAAATAAAAATAACTAAACAACTTTACATCTTGGTCAGGCATCTCCAACTCTGACATTTGAAAGCTACTGGCCTTTAGCCTATAGATGCTTCTCTGTGATGCTTCACCATGTCCCCAGTTTAATAGAGTCATGTTTGTGCCAGTAGTGCTCTGACAAAAAGGCTTGCAAAGATGAGCCCCTTTTACTGCGGCAATGATGGAGCAGAATAATCTAGAGAACAGAAAAAATACTGAAATTTACCTTTAATGTAATGGAATCAAAAGCTGCTGATCAGATAATTAATGTTACATTTATAAAGGTCCAAAGACAGTTGAGCACCCATATTCTCCTTTTGGGGAAAATTAAAATATTTCAATACCCCTCATCTTCAACCCACATAAATGTAAAAAAAAAAAAAGCCTACTGTCTGTGCTATCCTCATGGAATACAACCCAGGGCAGTTAGCCCTATGGCCTACATGAATAACTACCACTAGCTGGAATAGAGCTGCATCTATAAATTGCAGGACCCTAGCTGAATGATTATTAACTCTATATGGAGGCTCCCTAATAATAATGAATCTGAAAACAGTCAAATATGTTGACATAATACCTAAATTAAATATTTGTGCAAACCCACAACAGTCAGAATAAGTGGGGCCCCATTAGCACCATCATCTGAAAATAATATCTTTAAATGCTTTTAAAAACATATTCATCTGTCAAATGTTTTAACGAATCTGCAGACACCCTGTTTGTCGAATAAGCATCCCAACCTGCTTAGAACTTTAAGTAAGCATCCCCACTTGCTATAATTGCAATGGCCAAGGTGGCTGCATGTTGGGGTACCTCTGTTAGTTTGAATTTGATAGTCTTTTTAATAAGAATTTAAGCTCCTCTGTTTCTGGATCAATATTTCTTTTTTTCTTATTTTTTTTTTTGCTTCCAGTGTTGGATGTTGTGCAGATGAATTTATTTTTCTGTAGTATTTCAATTTTTGGAGATGTTATGATGTGTAACTATAACAACCACAGCAAGTTGGGTTTTTTTTTTTTTCAAACCTGGGAGCAGATTATTAGCATCTCAAAAGCAAATAATCAACAACATTTCAACTATGTTAAGTCCCACAGAAAATAAGATTGGAAAATGCAAGGAAGTTAGCCGACAGATGGTGTCATTCAAGAATGATACTATGAAGCTTCGTCTCTGCAGCCTAGATATTAAATTGTTGCCGGTTGGTTTTCATCCATATTATTTACTCAGAGAGTTCACCACTGTTATTTTGGCAGCTGTTTATATTTCACCTCCTGCTGTTATTTACACTGGGTGTAGTGTCATCAGTTACAACTGGCTCAATACTACAACAAAAATTGCAAGGCCGTAAAGGTAAAGCAACGAATAACAAAAACTATGGGTAACTGATGCAATGCAAAAAACAAAACCACAAACTCAAATGCAGTGTTGGGACTAACGCCTTAAGCAATGTGTCTAAATGAACTATTTAATTTATCAATTAATAACAAACATCTTGTATTCCATAATTGAACCTCTAGTTGTATTTAACATTCCCATAACAAGTAAGTTTTCCAAATTCTTCGACACTTTAGATCATAAAAAGTAACTGCATAGTTACTTTGTTAGAAACAAGTTAATTTCAATAATAACTCTAAATTCAATATACTTTTTTGGATAAGTAACTAGTAACTTATTTACATAACATTCAACGCTTCTTAAAAGTGTGTGGAGAAGTGAGAATGATGCCCAGCAGTGGCAGAGAACATTGAGATACTTACCTAATAAACAACCCTGGATCACCAGTAATTTAAGGGTACCGCCAAACAAAACAAAAAAAAAGCCTTCAGGAAGAGAGACAGGGAATTGCTTAGGAATATGGAGAAGGAATTAAGGTTAAGATAAAAGAAAGCAAAGACGCCTTTAGGACGAAGCCGGAAAGAAAGTTCCAGGAGAGCATTACAGCAAATACATTTTCTATACAAAACAAAATTTAAAGTTTAAATTTGTTTTTAGAATGTATGATTATTAAATGCTCTTTTTTGTACATTTTATTACAAGTTTAGAGAAAAGCTACATCAGTCTTAAGATGTTCTGTAGGATCTTTTATTTATAGACTCCATAATGAGTTGTCTGTTGCCTTTCTCCATTTAACCTCTAACTAAGAATATGTATCAACCCCATATGCCTATAGGACCTGCTGCGATGATAATTAACTTACCCTCAAGAGCCAAAAAAAGGTTATCATGCCATAAAATAGAGACATATGTTTTAAAGTGATGAAACCACTGTATAAATGTCATCTTTTTAAAGAGAAATTAATAAATCATATAAGCCTTTCTTAAAGACTTAAAAAATGCTGAAGTTTCCTGCTCTAAATGTTAGTTTGATACCCCTGCCTTAGAGTGATGGTGCTGTTCATGAGGTCTGTATTTCAGGCAGTGACTTACGTCCACAGTCGGCACCCGTCCTCTGTGCTGGTTGCAGTGAGCGAGGGATCAGGCTCTGGGGTTCTGCTGTCCTACTTAGGTGAGCGAGGTTCAAGCACCTGCATAACAGCTGCTGCAGCCATCTCACCTGTGCTGCTGGGCCAACTGTGGTTTGAAAGCGCTATGCCGCCTATCTACCACTGGGGGGTGTTGTTTCACAGAAAAATGCAGCTCAGCAGGTAAGAGAAGTTTATTTACAGGTATGAGTATGATACCATGTATGAAAAATTAAGATGATCTTTTGTTTTCCTCAATCCACTTATTAGATATGCAAGTTCCTTTCAAGGATCACTGGATGTGGATCGTGCCCTCAGGTCCTCCAGTCTCAGAGACTTTGAAGAAGCTCTTTTCTGCTCTCCGACTAAGAAAGCTTTTCCATCAAATGAGAGATCTTTGAACCCTTCATATTCCTCCCTGAGGGGATTTTCACCAACAGCGGCCTGGGCTCTAGGTGAACGAGCTAACCCAGCCCAAGACTGGGAGAACTACTGGGGGAGGAATGAACCTCTGAGGGATGCAGATGAGATGTCAGTCCCAGTGCTCTGTATCTGCAGCTCTGATGACCCTCTCCTTCCACCAACCTCCATGCTTCCCCTTTCTCTTTTCCAGAGCAATCCTTACTTTTTGTTGGCATTAACAGATAAAGGAGGGCACTGTGGGTTCACCCTGGAGGCCAGCAAGGACATAAATGATGGAAAACCAAGAAATGAAGAAGAGGAGGAAGGTGTTTGGAGTCATACTGCAATTTTGGAGTACCTCAAAGTGGTCTCTGATTTCCTGAAAGAGGCAGAGGGGGACTGGAAAAGCTGGGGAGGCCAACTAGAAACAAACAGTCTTAAAGGTCAGAAGGGCAGGATGAACGTTACGGCCCTGCCTCGTCGTCGCAGAGGCGCCATGATGAAAAGGTCAAGAACCCAGCCAGCTGAACAGAGCGCGCTGGATGATGCTGATGGAGACCTGTTTACCTGGAAGAGGTCTTATACTCGTTAAAACAAACACTTTCAGAGACATTAGATCAGTCTTGTGTAAAATACTGCATTCTTTTGTTGTTACAGTGATTTTAAACAAAAAGCTTTAAGGGCAGCATTCCAAGGCAAGGCAATAAAAATCACACCAATTCCGTTCAATTTTGACCAGATTAGTTGGTGAAATCTGTGTGAAAAAGAATGTGAAGTTATTAAAAAACAGCACAGCCTGCACAGGTCAGTCCAGGGGTATGTTTACCTTTGTGTCTCACAACCTCTGGTTTTCAAATTTGACATTTTGAAACTGAAGTGAAGAAATGCTTATCAGGTTTGGAGGCTTGATTGTTCAATACTGGTAGGTCTAGACTGCAGGGAGGCCAAAATAGCATACTTACCGTGCTTTTTGAATATATCTGAAGGGCTTAGTCTACAAATATGTTTTTAATCTAGATATGCCTTTATTCTATCCATCCATCCTTAGTTTGGCTGTTAAGATACAATCAAAGACCATTTTCAAAAAATTTAAAAAGGTACATAACTAAAGAAATATCATATCTGAACATCTGACAGTGAGTCCTGTGTATACTTGCTAGTCTGTTGCAAACTTAAAGACATGGTGGTGACAGTATCATGCTAAGGGAAGTTTTTTTTTTTTTTTTTCAGCAGCAGAATAGGGAAAGATGGACAGTGCTAAATATATATTCCTGAGCAAGATCCGTGAGTCAAATGAGGTCAAACTACCAGTAAGGCAAAGACCCAGGATATACAACTAAAGCAACACTTAATTAGTTAAAAGGAATCCAATAAAATCTGTTGAAATGGCTCAATCAAGGCTACACCTTAAACCTATTGAGAATATCTGCTTATAGCCAAGGGTTATTGTTCACAAATAAAAAACTCCAACTTAATGGATCTAAAGCACTTTGCCTTCAGGAAGGCAACTCTTCTGACGAGATGCGGCAACCTCAGAGACTTACCTAAAGAAGTTGTAGCTGATTACAGCAAAACATCCTTATTAGGAGGGTGAACAGTTATTCACAGTGAAGTTATTTTGTTGTTCATTTCTAAAAAAGTTTAGTGAAATAGTCCAAACTCTCACTTTAAATTTTAGGTTGTGGACAGGAGGGCTTGAATAATTCTGAGGGGTGTGAACACTTTTACAGGCTGCGGGAAGGTTGGATAGTGTTCATAAAACCTAATATTTTAGTTGAGGTTTTTGTAAGGAAGTGAATTCCATTAATGCCGACCCCTCACACACAAACACAATACAACTGAGAAATATTAAAATTACTTTATTACAGGTGATTCTTTATCCAGTAGCCCTCTTCCAACAAAAGATAGTAATTACAAACAAAATATTACATTTATCCCCTAAACTTTGCATCTGAATTACTTTTATACATTTTAAATCACTTATTTTTCCTCTGAAGGAATATCTATTCTCTTCTGCTATGGAACATTCAGCTGTTTTATTTTTTATTTGCACAAACTATACACTTTAATACAGTTTAATACAGATCTCAGGACCAGGAAAAAGAAAAAAGAAAACAGCAAGATTCACCAAATATGACAAAAAGGATTAAAGGAATACTGATAAACAGTCTGTACAGATAAGTAACCTGGCCTTTCACCTACTTCAGCCGACAGCAGCCGCCCCCTTCAGCAGGAGGAAGGGGAGGGAGAGGGTGTCACAGTAGACTCATAAAACTGGTCAGCTACTTGTGCAATCAGTGCAACCGATCCAGTTCAGAGCGACCAATGTCTAAAGCTAGACTCTGCCCCCACTGCTTTGCAGAAAAAGAAGAAAAATCTAGTAAATACATCTAAAACTCTGCAGCTTGTTTGGCCCTCTGCAGACAGCTTGTGGAAAATAAAAACATTGGGAGTAGAACACTAAAGAGATGAAGAGCAGAGGAATAAAGAAATTTAACAACTACGAACACGGGTTATGTTACTAAACAGAGAAACTAGCATGTTTAAACAGATGGGGGTGAAACTGTTGTTGCTTATTTTTAGAGGTAAATAATTCAAAGGTAAAAAAAAAAAATGCTTTCAATAAGTTACCCATGTGGGATTGCCTGAGTAAAGTCAGCACTTCCCACAAGGCTTAAAGTAACCTATTCACAAATTCTTTCAAATAAAATTCTCAGCCTTGTGCAACAATTTGGACTTCAGGGTGAAGAGTGCATCAAGTATTGTGGCCTAAACACTTAATTCTAAGGGTATACTTTAGGCTTTAGTCTACCTCATGTAACATTGTCAGTGTAACACAGTCAAAACTAAAGGAGAAAAGGGTTGAAATCATGTGCAAAAATACCCCTCATACACTTTTGAACAATGTTGTTACTTCCTCAAGGCATTTTGACCTAAAGTTGTGTTTTCCATCAAAATATATGTAACAGCTGCAAAGAGAACAAATAAAAACTCAGAAAATGCTTGTTTTAGCTACAGCAACTTTAAAGCCACAGCGTTGTGCCCTCATCGCAGGTTTCATTTCGCTTTGATTTGTCATTTAGTTTTCTGGACTGTACAATATTAACATAGCGACTGTACATTCCATCTGTGAAAACCATAAAGCATTTCACAATAAGACTTGGATCTTCTCTAAAATGTTCTCTTTAATAGATTTAGGAAACAACACATATCCAGTTCATTTTTTTTTTCTTTTATTTTGGGGGGTCATTTCCCTGCAGATTAGCGAAGGGCCCCAAGGGACCTCTGGAGACACGGGAGGGAAGGATGGAAGCGAAGGATGCAGGGAGATGGGCGGTCAGCTCGGAGGGTGAGACAGAGCGGGGTGTCACACTGGGGAGGGGCTTAGCAGGGGCACGGCAGCGGAAATCCCAGCATCACCACCCATAGATCCACTGAAACATTCAGCAGTCACCAACCAAGCTGTTCATTAGTTTTCATCTTTGAGGCCTTTCTTTTTTTTTTTTTTTTTTAAATCAACATTTACATCTCCTTTAACAACAGATCTGTGTTACATTTTTTTCCTGAAAAGTTTAACGTTTACATTTTCTCTGTACATGCATCCATCAGCCAAGTCTACGTTCTTCTACCATGTGTGCATGAGAATAAAATCGCATCTGACCTTCAGAGCGAGCCATGGCCAAAGTGCAACTTTCAGGCTTTACTGCATTGTTTGGGACACTGTAGAGTTACTGCTAACAGGTGAAGACCAGTTTATATTCAAGTTGTGGTTAGGAACTGCTGAAAACCCATCCTTTCCATGGAGGATGGTGGATTAATATGGCGACAGCATCCTTTAGAGTGAGACGGCCTGGGAAAAGGTCTGTGGAAACCCAAGAGCTGAGCCAAAACTGACTACTATTACTACTCGGCCGTGTGGCTTAAACTGACCAAGCCTCTCTGGCACACACTGACAAACAGTCCAGTGCTGGCAACTGCTACAATTAGCATGTTAGCAGTCTGACACAAATTCTTCAAATAAAGAGAGATGCACCAAGAAACTGGCTGGGAGGCACAATCCTCTTCTTCCATGTATTAAACGCAGCACTAAAGGCAACCAGGCTGTCCAAACGACATTATTTGGCATGGACGTTAAGGAAGAGGTCAAAGTGAGCTAAGGGTTACTCAGGAAGGGTTTTAAAATCAGCAAAATGTAAGAAGCAAAAAGTAGACAAATAAGTATAGTCATCTGTTGATTTAGACTGAAGCAACGCAGAGATCTTTGGTACAGTAAGTGCTGCTTTTGATTTATACTCAACTTTTAGGATTTTGCACCAGCTATGTTCCTAACTTAAGGTACATTTTTTTAATTGAGGAAAGGGCAAACTGACCTGAAGTCAGCCAAATAACAGGAAACTGGAAAGTAACAGGAAAGTTGCTCTGTCCTTCAGAGCTCAGGTTCACTGTCTTAGTATGTCCTGAAACATCTAAGACTTTGAAATGTCTTTGGCCTTTAGATCTCTGTGTTATGTTAAAGCCTCCAATCTCTGTGGTTCACACAGTAAAGCCAACACTGATAATCAACTATTAATTATTAATTTTACAAAGTACAACCCTGTTTTCTGAATATAAATGCATTTAACACATTTTCAAAATCAAAATGCAACACTGTTCCAAACTCAAAGGTTTTCTAGGCAGTTCACCACAAAAAGTCTAAATAAAGAACTAGCAAGGTGTTTTTTTTAGGTGTTATGTAAAAAAAATTACGGAAAAATGAAGAAGATATTGCTGAACTTCAACTCTTGAGTTTAATTAATGCAAATTTTTATCTTTGTGCCATCTTCAACAATTTATTTAAACTGTGCTTTAAATGTATAAAGTTTGAATCAGCAAATTATCCTACACCGTTCCCTTAAATCTCTGTCTTTTGACATTTCAAAGAGAGTAGGACAGCTGCTGCGTCTTTCATCTAAACCAAACAGAGTTCTAAAATCATGGGTTCAGTTTTAAATACTGGTCTAGAAAAATCTGAAATACAACCAAAAAACTTTTTTTTTTTTTTTTCAGGAGTTCAGTACTTTATTATAAGTGCTTTTAGAAAAAAGAAATAAGGTCATTATCATTAATTTTAATTGAAAGATGCTGGATGTAGATGGAATATAAATCAACTGAAGTGCTTTTTTTTGTTATATTCAGTCATTTAAAAAAATACAAATAAAGAAAATCTGTTTTCTTGTTACCATACTGCTTCAAACCTTTTCAAATCAAATTCTAAGCTTCTAGTATACTAGGAAACATCCAGTGGATGTTTTCAGTAGACGTTCTTTTCTCCCTCTTTTGAATCTTCTTTACTCTGTCGACACTTATGCCTCACTGACATTTACTTCCAAGCATACGAAAAACTGTTTCGAAAAAAGTGTTTCGATGGCATCCCACAGGATTTCTTAATTCTTTATTTATGTTAAAGCCAAAGCATTTTTTAACGACATGACTTGTGCCAACATCTGACTCAACCAACTTATGCATTTTAAATCATAAAAAAACTGAAAACTATCACCTCTAGTTGAACTCCATGTTAAATATACCATCAGGGGTTAAATGGCAGCAGACACTAACTTGACAGCTATCATATAAACACAGTCTGCTCTGGCAGACTAACCGCCATTAAAAGACACTAATTTGGTTTCAGCTCTCATGGGTTTCCACAGAGAGCCCCGTCTCGCCAGTCTACCATGCCATGTGCATTGTGGGAAATTATGTGTGCTGTGCATTTAGTGTGTTGTAATTTACAGCGATTGTGTTTCTTGAGTGTTTTTTTTTTAGGTGTATGAGAGGTGGGAACCGTTGGAGATCTGAGAGGTGATGCTGGCGCTCCTGCTCATGCCCTGCTCACTCCTCCCCCCTGATGACGTCCTCCTCATAGCCTGTGGGCTGTTCCTCACCCCTCCCGCACCTCCCTGACTACTTCTCTGACTGCCTCCTCCAGGATGGTGAAGGCTCCAGGGTGGCGGGCCGCCTGCAAGCATAGGGTGACCCCAGGGCTGCTGCGAACTGGAGCCCCCCTGGTGATGACCATGATGGCTGCCGCCTCCGCCACTTCCTGGCCACTGGCTTCCCCCCTGACTGCCTCCTCCTCCTCCACCGCCTCCCCCCCCCCAGCCTCCTTGGGAATCGGGAGCCAGGTTGGTGATTACCATGTTGCTGAAGCCCAGCCGCAGCGACTCAGAGTCGAAAGCCTCAATCTCACGAGCCTGGCGCTCCAGCAGGGAGCGGATTCGCTCCAAACGCTCATTCTGGAGGGAAAGCATTTCCTCTTCGATCTGAGGAAAATGTAACAAACCATTTGAAAAGTTAACATATGGTCCAGCAGAAGTCAAGGTAAAGGGTCATTTTAACATAAACAAAACAAAAAAAGTTATTGAGATATTTAGTCGCATTAGAAAGAAATAAAAAGAATAAAACAATACATTTTAGCATTTCCTATAATGAGAGCCAAAGTTAGTTTTTTTTTTTTTTACATATTTTTATCTTTACATTCAAGCAGACATGCAAGTAAATTTGCAATCGATGTGGACCTTTGCTGGTTTTCTGACAGCCTAGATAAGGTTAGACCAGCTTGCCTTCTGCTCCAGCAGAGCCCTCCTCAGGGACACCCTCTGCTCCAGGTCCCTCCTCTCCTTGTCGTGCTGTGCGTCTGTCTGCATCTTGATCTTGCTCTGGTAGGCGTTGAGAAGCTCCAGCTCCTGCTGCAGCTGCATCCTCAGAACCTGACATTCACCCTCCTGAGCCTCATCTAACCGTAGCTGAGGGTGGAACAATCAAAGAGAGCGACAAATGAACTATTTGCTAAAATCCCAAGAAAACTCACGATAAATGAGCAACAGCTAGATGAGGAAAAATATATTTTTGTGAAAAAAAGACAATTACTGCCTGTGTAGATAGCATCTCACTGATGGAGTGGTCGTACTGCTCGGCCAGGATGGCCAGCTTCCTGGTCTGTTCCTCCTTCAGCCTCTTGAGAACAGCCTTATGCTCAGATTTTGGGGTGGTCTCCAGCAGGTGGTTCCTGAGCGCTTTGTATTGCCGTGTCTGTGTCTTACACGTCTCCTGCAGCTGCTTCTTAATCTGAAGCTCCTTGGACTAAATATGGGAAAGAATCCAGGAGAGGTTTTACATTTTGACATTGATGGTTTCTCTATAGGTCCAGATCTGCACCGGTTTTTGTACCTTCAAGCTTTTAGGCTGCTGTCGGACCTCCATGACATGCTTACGCCTCAGTTCCCTCTCCCTCCTCTTGTTGTATTCCAGCTGGTTGGTGAGCTCAGTCTGGTGCTGGGTTCGGATCAGGTCGGCGCGTGCCCTCTGGATAGTCGCCAGATGCCTGAACTCCAGCTCCTGCATGGACTCGTGATGCCTGAGCAGCATTGCATGTTCCAGATCCTTCTGCGTCTGCCGCTTGTTCAACTCCTTGAAAACATAGTAAAAGGTTTTTCAAACAGAGAAATAAGAAAAATGGGGATGTCTAAGAAGCATTTGTGTTCATGAACCTCTCTTGCTAGATCCTGCTCCACGTTGTGTCTGGCAATTAGGATCCTCCGTTTGAACCGGCGACACTCCAGCTCCAGGTACTGCCTCTGCCTCCTCAGCAGGTTGGCCTCCTCTTCTGCCTGTAAATAGAAAAGCAGGTCAAAAAAATAGGAGCCCAACTCTCACCAACTAAAACCTTCAACAACTTTGCAAATTGCAAATACAACAAATAGTCTTCATATTATTTACCATGTATCGTTTTTAAAATCTTTACCTGGAAGTGCTGAATGTTTTCCTTCTGCTTGGAAAGCCACTCCTGCTTCTCCTTTTTGGGAGTCGACTGGTTCTCGCTCAGTTCCTGCCATAGAAGCATCAATAACTTTTGTTAGATTAACGATTAAAATCTTCTCATTACATCTAATGTGTTCAGGTTCAGTTGATTGAAAGGTTGGTTAAAGGTACCATCAATAGTTCAGGATTACCTCTTTTAGCTGCTCCTTGCGTAGTTTGTATTCCCGCTTCTGCGACTCCAAAAAGCTGCTGAGCTCCTTCTTCTGCTGGACCTGGATGTGCTGCTGAAACTTCTTCTCATCGTTGGCAAATGTCTTCAGCTAAATCGCATAAAAACATAAATAACTATACCAGAATCCATATGAATATTTTAGTTTCTGTTAACACATGATAACCAGTCTGAGTGCATACATCTTTCTCTAGTGCAGCTTGGTGTTTTTTGAGCAGCTTCTCCATCTCCTGAGTGAAATTGTTCCTCAGACTCTCCAGCTCCTTGTCCAGCCTCAGCCGATGCTCATCCATCTCTCCTTTCAGCTTGTTCTCCAGGGCCATCAGGTGCTTCTGATGCTGCCGCCTCATGCGTTTGTACCCTGACATCTGCTCCCTTAGCTCAGAGTCCTGCTCATGTTCTTGCATCTCACGCGTCACCTGTGAGATGGGGATTCATGAGAACCGCAAAGTCCACAGGGTTGACATGAGAGGGGGAAAAAAAATATGGAGAAGGTGGTCTTACAAGGGATGCTGTGCGTATTGTAGCAAAGTGCTCTCTGTTGCGGTAGTGCTTCTTTTGGGCCTGAACTGGAGCTGGCTGTGGCTCGGTAGGTTCGCTGCTTGCTGCCTGCTCACCAGAGAGACTCTCCTCTTCCTCCTGGAAAACAATTCATCATATTAGTTAGAAACCATTTAGAACTTGAACCCCAGTCGGCCTTGGCAGATGGCCGCTCACACTGAGCCTGGTTCTGCGGGAGGTTTCTTCCTCCACTGTCGCTACAAGCATGCTTAGTGTAAGGGATTGCCTTCAAGTCAATGATTCGATGCAATCAACTGGTTTTCCTTATATAGAAAACTGAATCAATTAGACTGTATGATCTGGTGAACTGTAAAGTGCCTTAAGATGACGTGTTGTGAATTGGCGCTATATAAATAAACTGAATTGAATTGACCGAGTCAGGAAGCAGTTCACAAAATATTAAATATGTGGAAATAACGTGAATATTATTCATGAGCAAAATATTTCCAAAATACCAAAATGAAGAGAGGTGCGCCCTCTAGTGGCTTTTCAAAGTGATTTTCTAGTTGTTTTATGTAATAGCTAATACAGTTCAAATTGTACTATTTGAATGAAACCTATTAAATAATCTGTCTTCATTGGCCTGTTGAAGTATTCATATCTCTAAAGATCCCACAAGATCAGCAAACGTACCAGTAGGTGGCGCTGTTAGGTCGTTTCAAACCACACAAATCAAACCTTTATACTCTGAAGAATAAAAACATGCAGTTTAAAATTGTTTAACCCAAAATTTAATTCCTCAAATTAAATTTCTTATTCAAATAATATTGCCTGTGTTTTTTATAACGTTCAACAAGAGTTTTAGACATTTCTTTACCAAGTTGCTGGTGGGTTTTAGAATGACTTTCAGCATTATTTTAGTCTAACCTTTTCAGCTCAGGCATCAAAATAGTATTAGGGCAGAACAGAATTAAGAATATGTAGAATATATGATTTCCCTTATATTTATTTTTGCAAATGTCACTTTATAACTTAAGCCCTATATCTTATATCTTGTTTATATAAATTACTACAGACTTTTTATTTAAAAGCTATATCACCTTTACTTGTATCCAAACCCGCATCATTGATTATATTTTAGTCATACATAAATAACTATCTCTCTATTTTTATTCCTATTTTCTAAAAACATTGAGTGGGGGGTTTGCATAAACTTGCTGTTTTCTGTTTATTTTGTGCAGAAAAAAGGTCCACAGCAGCAAAAACATCAATTCACACAACCCCATTGTGTCTAGATCTGGTTTACAAAATAGAAATTAAAGCCTGTTTGTATGACTGAGGTAGAGACATGTTGATTCCCTCCGAACACTTGTTGACTCCAATCTTCTCCCTCTGATGCTAACAGATGTTTGTGCCAACTTTTCTAGTCGAACGTCCAACTACTGTAGACTGATGCTACACTTATCAGACTAGAAACTAAGAGCAAAATCGAGCAAAAAGTTTTGTTTTATTGTGACCCGAGTTTAACAGGGTCTCATCCAGGACTCCATCCACCCTCTACAGACTCTAGTCATTTCATCAAGTCATCATGTTCAGATTGGACTCACTTGATGAGATGACTGGAGTCTGGTGTGCTATTGCTTGGTTGGAAAGAAAACCACTAGCCAGACGGCCCTTTCTGGAACCAGCTTGAGATCCCTGCTCTACAGCAACTCCCTGCTGAAAGAAAGCGTCCCGACACCAAGACATTGTCTTGCTTGTTCCTAGGAATTCCTGATACAACTTGTTCCCAATGGTTTTTAATGCACCTAAAGATTAAACTAAACACAAATGGGTCCTCTTTTCCAATTAGTAGTAATGGCCACCAGGTCTGTACTTTTATAGGTACCAACCAAACTCTATCAGTACTATAGAGTTGTTGGAGTAAAATCAAACGGTAACATATTTAGCTACCTAAATGTATTATTGGGACACAGACAGAGGAAGAGTGGGCAAGTTTCCATGCCAGACTAGAACACTGCATGCACAAGAATGTATATGCATGCTGTCAGATGCTGCTGCTACTAAAAAAACAATCATGGCTGATAGAAGGCTCAACTCCTAATAAAGAGGTGAGCTCCACCTTTAAAAATGCAATGCAGAAATCGTTCTCTGCAGTATTTGTGCTGTTGAGCTGAATGTAAGTGACAGGAACACTTCTACAACTCCTGCATTATGCAGCGTCCCGCATCAGATGCGACTTGTCAACAAACATGTCTCTCATACATATCAATTCCCAGCTAGCAGAATTTGGTAGCATATCCGCTGAAATGTGACCGGTACCCATCCCTACTAATTGGGCAGCTCTGAAGGTACTTGCTTTATTTTATTTATTTTATCTTGGGGTATTTAATTTAAAGGGGGCTTAACAGACGTAAACCACACCTCCTAGGTTTTAGCTATTAAAGAAAAAGTGCTAAAAACCTAGATTCCTTTTTCGTTCTGGTTTATCCCGTCAAATCTCTTCCAAAAAACAGTTTTTGAGTAACAAAAATAACAAGAAAAATAAATCTAGGAAAAAAAATGCATTAACATTTTCCAAGCAACTGCATAAAAAATGACTCTCGGTTTCATAGATGTATTGCGTGAAGCTTTTACAGCTGCATGACAGTACAGAGCATCCACTGAAACAATGAGTTTCAGAGCTCTGGTTGCTGGCATCGGCTTGCTTAAAGAGCAGGACAGGCCACGAGTGGGAGGACATTACAGAAGCATTCGCTTTTCACAACAGTACAGATAATTTAGGCTATAGTGAAGAATGAGGCACAAACAGGAGAACATTTCACTTTGGATTCAGCGTACTAATTTTAATGGAAATGCCAAACGGCGGAACCAAAAGGCTTTGAGGCCGATCCGAACTGTTTCCATACATCATTATTTTCCAATACCAGCCATTTCATTTGATCAAAGACATCAAAATTGCAAATCGACTTATTTCTTTTAAAATATGTGGAAAAATTAAAAAATATAAAAACACTAATGCGTAATATAATTTAATGCTATTGTTTTTTTATTTAAATGATTAATACATATATATATTTTTTAGGAATATCTGAGTCGACTGAAAACCCTGATAAAAAATGACATGGGCCATTATTTTAAGACTGTCCGTATAATACATCAAATATTAAGCTTTATTGCTGTAGCTCCTTTTAAACACAGATGAGTGTCCAAAATGCTAAAAGTTCAGGAAATGTTGGGGGTAATGTAATAACAGATCAGGATAGGCGGTTAAAAAGAAAAGGTGTCTATCCAGAATAAAATTCCTATACAAATATTTCACAAAAATACCACCTAATACCAAGTGACCGACAATGTACTGAAAAACTGTGAAATAGAAGAAATTTAATGCAACCTTTTTAAGATGTTTCACACACCATCTGGATATTGTCTTTATTGTATTCAGTCCTCTTTACTCCTAAAATTAAAAAATAAAGTTTAACCAAATGCTTTCAATTGTCTCCTGTTTAGTAAATAAGCAAATTTGTGTTTTTTTAACCTCTGTTAAATTGTTTTATCTCAGTGAATGTATGATGTTGATAAAGGAATTCTGATTCTACTGTTCATTGCATCATCTAAACCTGGTATGCGTGTGAAGCACCTACAGAGATGCATTGCTCAGGTAAGATTATCCATCATGGGAATCCAGTTGTCTTCTACTCTACAAATCTGCTGTTTATCGAAGCACAACCAGAGGAAAGCCACTGCAGGAAGACAGAACAAACTGCTCCTTTTGCAGTTTGCAAAGTCATTGGAGATAAACTTAACGTGCTGACGAAGGCTGAAAACTAAAGACTAAAAATTGAAAATGTTTAGAAAAATAAAGCCAAACATCATCTACAGTCCTCCACAGGGAAAGATGGTGGAAGCATCAGGCTGTGGGAATCATTTTCTTCAGCAAGAATAGGGAAGCTGATCAAAGTTAATACGGAGATGGATGGAGCTAAAAATAAAGAAACGCCAGAAGGAACCTTTAAAAGGCTCCAAAAGATTTGAGGCGGTTCGTTCAATTTAAAGCAGAACATAGAGCCTAAACAGAGCTAACAGCAAAGGTTTAGATCATATTCATATGATGTTCCACTAAAATCTAACTGACTTCCCATATACTGCTTTAGCTCTTTGTCATTAACGTTTGTTTAATTAAACATAAATTCCTTTATTTGATTGTCCAAACTGCAAACCCTAGATATTAGCAGATTTTTGTTTAAATTATACCCCCAATTCAAAAAGTTCAAATTAAAAGCGAGAGAACCTTTTAAAATAAGTACAAAGATAAGCAATGAAACTAATGCTGTATGTTAAGAGTTTCTCCACCCACCGGTTTGACGTGTATCACTGAGCTGTTTGACATGACCGTGTGGTCTCCCTCCATTAAGTCCAGCTCACTGCGGCTGTCTTGGGCCGCTTCGTTCAGGCTGTTGACAGAGCTGCTCTGGGAGCTGGCACTGATGGACATGCTGGGGATGGACTGATTGCTGCCAACGCTGTTCACCGTTCCTGTACGACCTCCGCCTAACTCCAGGTCCTAGAGCAGGGCGGACAGACCACACGGAAAGACAGCAAGAGAGAGAGGACAAAGAAAGACCAAGAGGTACAGAGAGTACAAAGAAGAAAAGACATGCACAAAACCGGCATATGCTTAATCACTTGCTCTAAATGAAGCCGCCAACAGCGGTGGGTGAATTTAGTATCCACAGACCTCCTCTCCATCCTGGGGCTCTGTGGTCGGCCCATTGTGAGCCTCTTGAAGGAGTATCTTCTTCATCTTGCGGTACTGCAGGTTGTCTAGCTCTCGCACCGCATCCTTGGTTCTCTGAATGAGATCCATCAACACTGAATCTGGACGTTCACGCTGCAGAAACGCGTGCTGGAGGGCAAGAAGAAATACAAAACTTTAAGCAAAGTTTCTGATTGTGATCCAACAGATACATCCCTAATATATCAGTTGTGGACTAGAATCTGCACACAATCCATAAACCCGACCAATGATTTGCTGTTTCAATACTAAACACAACAGGACAACCTTCACCGTGGTCAATAGTTAAGATAAAACATGTCCTCAGACAGGTTTACACTGCTTTGAAGCTGCAAGAGCGTGAGAGACTAGACTTTCAACAGACACCAAGGTAGAGTGGATGCATCATAGCTGCTCGGTTTTTATCCTTTTGAGCTTCATCTGCATATGCCAATGCTGGAAGTCAAGGAAATGCGCACAGAGACAATAAGCTTGTGGTACTAACTGCTAATGTAAGATGCTAAACCAAGCTTAAATGCTAACAATTTGAACTTTTTCTATTTTTTTAAAGGAAAATCTAATTTTCCAGTGCCGGCTCTAACTCAGACATGATGTCACACCTACATCTGATCAAAATTATGAATAACCAATGGCAGAACAAGGAAAATACTTCTAATGTCTTTGTCACATGTTCTGATATAATAACTTTTTTTAAATAATCTGAAAAAAATGCTGGCCTAAAATCTCATAGATACAGATGCACGTTATATCAGCACTGGTATCATTTGATATTTTTCATCTTTTAAACAGTCACCAGATTTAGAAACATATTTATTTACGTAGTCTTTGGAGGAAAAGGGATTGGGTTCACCATGTGGTATTGTTTTTAATATGACAATGAAGGTGAAGGCAGGACCTTTTACTAAAGCAGACAAATGTAAGCGGCTTGAAGGATGGATCATTGTGTCAAAGGTAGGGAAATGCTACTGATTCTCATCTGTCTACTGCGTCCGTGAAATGATTTCACCGCTTACTGTTTTTTGGTAAATTTACATTGTTTGCATCCATGTTTACTTACACCCAGCATGTCGTCAGAATGTGGCCTGTCTTGGGGATTTTTCTGAAGGCAAGAATCGATAAAGTTTCTAAAGTAATCCGTCCTGGAATAAAATTGAAAAGACAGAAGGTCATAACTATTACATATTAAAGAAAGAATTAACACTGAAAATAAAACCTTTTTAAAATGATGATAAAAAGTTAAGTAAAAGTGTTCTGGAGCTTTATGGCCTTGGTCCAATAACTTTTCCACACTAATGAAGATGAAAAGCGTAATAAGAAGAGAGTCCCCACCATTCACTGGATTGCAGCGTGGGGCTCTCATTCTGCGCTATGTGGTATAAGGCACTCATTGCATTCATATTGAAGAGTGGAGGCTTCCTCTCGGCTAAAAAAAGGAAAACAAATGTAAATTACAGAATCAACAATACATTTACCAAATTAAAGTACCTCATTTAGAACATTATCCTTTAAAGTTCTGAGTTTAGACGACAGGTCCTAAATTCTTCCCCCAGAAAAGGGCATTAAAGATGCCACTAAAAACAGCGGTATTTTCATTAGGTACGTTTATTAGAGCCAATAAAAAAAATGCCTTTTTCAAATAGAAGAATTAACTGCATCAATGCAGTGTAAGATGGTTGGGATCCCTGTGGCTCTAATGAGGTTGTTCTATCAGCTGACCTAATTTTTCTCTAAAAAAACAAAAAAAACAATTAATTCTCCATAGTTCCAGGGATTTTTCTGGGCAATCAAGTACATTAAAACCATGGTCATTCAAACAGGTACTGCAACTTTAAGCAGCGGGAGAGTCTATTTCTTGCATGAAAAGGAAATCTGCATTTCCCTAAGCGTTCAGCAGAGGGCAGCACACAGTGCTTTGCTTTGAAATATGGTCACATTATTGATCCTTTCTCACTGAGTATGAATTAAAATAATAAAACCAGATTATTCAACAGTTATTTGTTAGGCATACCTGGTATACTATGGTGTCAACTTCCAGTCAACAATTTTCCTCATGGTTTAAATTTTTCTCTTGTTTTTGCACAAAATATTTAATTATTAAAAGAAAAAATAATTCTTCATCTTCTGGAGTTATTGTCTGTTTTTTCAAAGAAAGACAGTTTTGGCTTCTGGTTAGATGTAAGACATAACTGTCTATCTTGTTAGATCTATCAATAAAGATCTATAAACATAGAAATGTTGTTAGCTCTATCAGGCTTGTCCCACCAGCTCCACCAGCTTGGAGATGTCATCATCCAGCCATGTCAGTTTTTGCTTCTGCTCAGATGTAAGACATACCCGTCTATGTTGTTCAATGTAACTGTCTATGATGTTCGTAGATTGCTTCAGATGTTGGCCTTGGTACGTCGCTGGCTCATATTTTATGTATTTGTGTTACTTCTATCTTTTATACTGCTGCCATCGTTAAAGTGAGCAACTTCCTAACATCAGGCAGTCTTATCTAGGCTGTTTCTTTATATAATGCAAGCATGTTTCCAATTTACTTTTTTTTTTTTCAACCTTTAAGCATTACTTTACATGCACAGTTGTTTTATGAACTGCTGATTGGAGTGTAAGGAATAGGAAACCAAGGTACAATTTCTTGTTTGTGCCCAAAACCCGGTCATTATAGAGCTGTTTTTGAGTGGGGAAACTTTTTGTTTTTATTGCACTTATTCTCTCTCCATTGATAGTTAGAAAAAAGTATACAATCTAAACTTTATTCCAACCTGCGATGTGCTTATGCCCATGTAGTCCTTAGGGATACACCCCACACATTAAGAACCGCTGGCTCGGACCTACCTAATTCTATACAGGTAATGCCCAAGGACCAGACATCCACTTTGCCGTCATACTGGCCCTCATCCATAGCTAGAATCACCTCTGGGGCCATCCTGAGTAAAAGTAAAAAACAAGTCTTAAAAGAGAAATCAAAGGCATACTTTATCACAGCAATTTCTTGCTTATTTGTTTTACAGTGAATGTAAAAAACACAGATGGAAGGTTGTGGCAAAAAACATGTTTTTTTTCATATTAACGGAATACATCAAGTAATGCTTAAATTGGGGGTTTGCAGAGAAACAGGAGAGACTCATTTGAATACATCAGCTGGTAGCTCTACATGAATATGCAAACAGAGGCAGACTCTTTTTACAGTCAAATTGACTGTAGAAATCAGAGACTTAAGTTTATATGTAGTCCAAAGTGAAACTGAACTTTTGTAGCATGTTTACTGTTCTTACTTACCAATATGGTGTTCCCACAAAGGAATTGGCAGGTGAGGCAATGGAGGCAGAGCCAAAGTCTGCCAGTTTGACTTGGCCAGGCTCAGTCAGCAGGATGTTACCAGCTTTTACATCCCTGAAATGAAATAATGTGCAGAATTAAAGGTGATCCGTGGTGTACTGTAGTGTTTAAAAGCTCAAACTAGCTGCATCATGTAAAATATCTCACCTGTGAATCATATTGTGGGAGTGAAGGTATGCCAGCCCCTGCAGAGCACCGTGTGTAATGGCAGCAATCTCAACTTCTTGTAAAGGTTTTTTATGGACTGTGAGAGGACATAAGTAGAGAAAATAGTAAATTTGCCTTTTTGATCGCAGCAGTCTTAAGTCTTTTTTATAAGATACTTTGTTATTTTTTATTTTACCTTCAAGCAAGTCAGAGGCTGAGCCAAGGCAATACTCCATCACCAACTAGAAACAAGCATGAATTAGGTAGACCCATAAATGATTGTGAAAATATAGCAAATCAAAATGAATGACTTACCCATGCTGTGTGCTCACGGAGGTAACATCCTTTGTATTCTATGCTGTTAGGGTGTTGGATCCTCTGGAGAAACTTGACCTCTTTAATGATGTCCTGCCATTTCTGAATTAGAAAAGAAAAAGTTAAAGTCCATCGACACTTATAATAGCTGTCTGCATTAAAATAATTGTACATTGCACATACAGACATAAGATGGTTCTGTTTGCCTAAAAAGTAATCATAGCCAATAAGAAACCATCTTTGCAGTAAACTGCAAACAGAGGCAAGTATACTCTGGTTCATCAGAAGGGTTTTTGGTAAAACAAACTACAAATCAAAGTTAAATTATAGCTTCAAATTTGTGTTTTTTTCTCTTTGAGATTTATAAAGAATCAATGAATTGAATGTATTATTTTCTATAGTCAATTAGTTTAGCATTTTTCTACAGTTCTTTAGTAGTTCTATAGTTCTTTTCTTCATTTTACCTGACCTGGGCAATCCTAAAGTAAGGGTGATACTTTCTCAGACTGGTTAAAATCAAAGATAAGTAGACAACCGTTTTCATGTAAAAAATTGCATATTCTTAGTACCAATCAGTGCAATTATAATTTAAACATGTAAATAATATCCTCCTGATGCCATTCCAATATTATTTAGATGTATTAAGATTTCCGTGTGGGAAAATGCATAAATGGTAGCAGCTATGAAAGGCACAGAAACTGTAAAAACAAAATCTTTTTTTAACTCAATTATGATCTTTTGATTCTTTATGTAATTAAAAAAACATTTAGATTATGTAAAAAAAACAAAAAACAAATCCATCTCACCTCATTAGACTGTTTACCACTGTAAGACATCTTTTTAATTGCCACCACCTCGTTCGTTCGCACGTCCCGTGCCTAGGAAACATCAACCACAGCTGTTAGTTCACATTTCAAACAAAACAAGCATTTACCTTTGAACTTTCTGTAGATCGATCTAAACAAGAAATACTTTGTTTACATCCCCAGCATATGGATCATTTAGAAACTGCAGTCAGATGCAAAGAATCAGGAAAGTTACAGTCAGTTGGTGCAATTAGACTGTAATGGAGGGAGGTAGTTAGAGGGGGTAAACATTACTGAACAGGACACAGCTCACGCTGTTAGACTTATCTATAAGAATCTAAAACATTACTGTATAGAAACACACTATATGTTGTTTGAATATCTGAAGGCGGTGTATGGTATTTGGCCTTACAAAGTAGACGGCCCCAAAGCTGCCATGGCCAATCTCTCTGAGGTCAGAGAAAAGCTTCTCCGGGTCTTCTTTAAAGAACAGTTCGGCCACGTCCGGATCCTTTAGGCTCCCTGCCCTCCCAGAGGATGGCATCCTGGTTTACGTAGTCCCGTATCGCCCGTACAGACGGATGGGACTATCTGGGCGCTGAGCTACACCAAAGCAGCTGAAGATTCATTTGCAGTTATGTGGGAGCCTGAGGAGGTCAACGCATGGACACCTAGGCAGAAAAAAGACAGAGAGAAGGATTGAGGTGTAAGCAATGGCAAAGTGAGAAACATTCTCTTTCCACAGAAGGGAGAAGATGAGAGAGATGAGTCAGAAAGGCAGCATTTAAACAGTGTAAAAAAAAGAAAAAGGTGTGATCCACACTGAACATTGTTTAAAAGAACATCTCCACAATTTAGGATCGCAGTTCCTGGTTATTACTTTATATGTCTTCTAATTACCTGCATAAGAAGATTCAGGAAGTCCTGATTTATTCAAAAGAGGTTCTCCACACAACCAAAGTAAATATAAATAAATAGACTTTGCTTTTTTTTCTTTTTTTTTTTACAGCAAGGTCAGAAGCTCTCTGAATACTAAAAATGCTGGATATTAATTTTCCGTGGTTGAACCTCCAGCTTCTGCTAATAACATGACAAACTAACTACAGAGTCATCACTAGTGAATCTATATAGACTGAATCAGCAATCGCTGCAAATCTGCGCTCCACAGGCGTGACTGAGGCTATGCAAATATCCCAGGTCAACGATTGATTTAGTGTCCAAAACAAAGAGGTGGCCGGCAGTAATGAGAGGCGAGCTGAACACTGATGATGAATAGGGATGTGGGTTGATCTCTCTAAACTCCATTCATCACTTTTGTTCCAGTTAATACATGAACTCTGTACGATATTATTCATTATTGGGGAATACTTAAACACACTTTAAACACACACTCATTACAGCACTGCATGTCCTGAGCCTGTAACATCATCAGTGACCCCTCACACCCCCACCATGGACTGTTCTCCCGGCTGCCCTCTGGGAAGAGGCTTCGCAGCATCCGCTGCAGGTCCAGCAGGTTCTGGGAAAGCTTTTTCCTCTGTGCCATCAGACTATTGAACTCTAAACTGGACTCTGCATCACACTTGCAACATTATTTTTGCACCACCAGCGTGGCTGAACTTTTTAATAATCCTTTTAAATAGGATGCAACTCAATGCTCATTTCACAGCTGCAAGTTGTAAGCAACGCAATTTCGTTTTGTATACCCTTGGTGTACACAAAATGACAATAATGCTTGTCTAATAGTTTACAAGCTGACTACAGGGGTGTTCAACTCACTTAGAGCAGTAATTATACTAACATTTTAAAAAAAATCTATAAACATTTTGCATTTAAGAAAAAAATCTTTTTCATCTGTTAATATGCTAAATCCACAGCTCCTCAAGTGGAAATGTTTTAGTTTCATCTGGTGTAATTTAGCAAAACGTCTTCTTTAAGTAACCTTTTGCAATCCAATTATTAATCAATTAATAAAAAAATAATAATACAGATTAATAGATTTGCAAATTAATCTTTAGTTGCAGCCCTAGTCCAGCCTATGGGCTATTTGCAGCCCCCTTCATGATTTTCTGAGGCAAGCGAAAACAATTCAAACTGCCACAAGCGAAGGATGCTGATGGCTTTTTTTTTTTAAGGCTGAGCGTTAGCTCCAAAAGTAGGGCTCTGGGATGATGTTGTACTTTAAAACAAAGAACCATGTATTTACTAATGTAGGATATCAAACAATTATTTGAAAGGAAAATGAGTATCTTTACAATAAGATATCTGGAGAAAGATTTTACAATTTAGCTTATTAAGGGAATGAAAATTAATATTTGGGGAAAATTATTCTCTCAAATTATATTGCAGCTAAGTAAAGATCCTGCGCATGTTTTACATTCTGGTAATTTTGATTCAGCTGGAATTTGAAGTGGTTGCATGGAATTTGTTTCTGATAAATCCAGACACAACTGTAAAACAGATCTTAAAGGTTTTGGGGAGACAATGCCTCACTTATTCTACCCCAAATTCTGTTTAGCTGCCCCTCCTCTGACATTTTGACCATCATTACTTTACTCTGATTTTACTTTCCTTCTGGGTTTGATGTTTATCAGATGGAAAACCACAAAAATCAGAGCATATTTACATTTCAATTTTCAGTTCAATTCAGTTTTTTTATATAGCTCTAATTTACACAGTAAAATATACAAATTAATAACATAAGAATACAACTAATGTTTTGATGATTTCATGTTTTTTGTAATCTTTTGAAGCCAAACAAGAACTGAACTGGCCAGTCTGTCTGTGTGACGTCAGCTATTTGGAAATTTGCTCAGATAATTAGAAACAGCTGTTGATGTAGAGACCAGCAGCTAAGAAAACATTTTTATTAAACTTGTAAGACGTTCAAAGAAAGTCACGTTTGCAAAGCAGAATCGTTTTCCCCACTTTTTATATATATTCACCGTCACAGAGACACGTGAAGAGGCAAAATCAATGAGTCACAACGCACCAGGGAGTAGACCTGCTAGCGTTAGCCTAGCATTTTAGAAAGCTGCATGACAACATCGTCGTCAACGAGACCAAAGTAGTTCAACCTTGTGAGAGTCGTTCTTGAGTGAGAGATAATCCTAATGTCTAGAAAACTATTTTACCATTTTTCAAGAAAATAAATGACATTTCCTGAAACCAAAAAACATTAAAAACTCTTCTCTAACTTTTAAGCCACGTTGACATAACATGCTGTCAGTGAGAAAGCATTTTACATATATAAAAATGATTTCCATTCCATAAATAGCTCAAACAAAATAAAACGTGTGATGAGCAGGTTTATTTCTGGTTCTGCAGCACTGCTGATGTTGACAAGTATACGCACAATAGCTAACCTTCCTGAAGCACTGAATCTTTCAGAAGCTTTATTCTGCTGTAAAGCTTTCCAGCTGTGTGCCTGCTTTTAATTAAGGCCAAGAAAGGCCTTTCAAACACATTTTAAAGTTGTTATAACTTAAAAACGAATTACTCTGTTTTACAGATTTAAATATTTCTTCCCTTGAGTTTAAATTTCAAATGTGGATGTTCAGTTATTCAGATTTGCCACCAGTTATTCAGTGCAGTAGTCCCACTACCTCCACCACACCATACTTGTTAATTATATTTGACTTCTGGGATTTCCAATTGTGCTTCTTCAGAGCATCATATGATTATATCTAAACTTAAGCTGCCGAGCCGGCTGATCAACATTTTTCAGGAGCTACATGATCCACATAGCAAACACAACAGCATGAACTCCTTTCCTTCTAAACCAATTGGTTTCAATTTCAACAGATAAAGTTAAAAATATTTACATTCTACCCTCCCAATAAGAACCATCAACAGGACTATTTGGGTTAAAAAAAATGATATTTTCAGACATAAAGACTTCCTGTAAAGTTCTTGAAGCCCTTTATCCAGATAAAGCCGGACATTTAGGCTGAATACCTTTCACTCCATAAGCAGAGGAAATCATTAGCAACTCAAATGAACAGCATTTCTGACCTTTATTAATTAAAAACGATCACATTGGTGCCACAAATATTTTAGAAATATGTCAGAATAAAGTATCATTAATATTATGGAATTTTACTAAGACTGTGCTCCAAAATGAACCAATGCAACCTCTCTAAATAAGCCTGCTGTCTGCTTTGGCCTATAGACGTGGTTTTATCTGTTAGAAGAGATTCCCAGAATCAACACTAATAAGATGCACCACTGCAGAAGAGGCAAGGAAGGAACTTGTGATCAAGTCAGAGATCTTAGTATTAGACCTGCGGTTAAAAAAGGCCCCGGTCAGGGACTTCATCTTTTAGGAGCCATCTGCACAGTTTCAAAAGAAAAGGGAAGTTTATTACTTCTCATGATTTAGTCAGTCATCTTATTCTAGCATCATTCTGACACATGCAATATTTATTTTAATATGCAAGACTACGACTATTTCACAATACTTACAGATCAGGGTTAACTCGGCAGTAACCAATTTTGCTTCTTTTTAACACCTAACCATATTGATTTTTTTTTTCTCACAAAGACTGACAAGATTATTTAAAGAAATTTAGTATTAATTCAAAAAATAATTGTAAAGAAAACCACCGACATTAATGAAACGTGCCAAAGGTTAATTGAAAGAGGTTCTGGTTGGGAATCTAACATGACATAAAATTTTTGTTGACACTTTAAATCTGATTAATTTTATTCAAACTATATTTGTTTGGACAGTTTTGAACTTTCTCTCTAATACAGTAAAAATCAATCAAATATAGTTCTGGAGGACGTGCCGGCCTTATCAAACCTGATTACAGCCATGCAGGATGCTACATAAGGCCTTAAGTTTTCAAATGATAATTAACCTTTACAATAAACATCCTAGTCCCTTACTGAAACGTTGTATTTTAGTGAATGGGCAGCATGAGGAAAATACAACACATATATTTCAAGATTATATGGGCTAAAACGAAAATCTATTACCCAAACAGCTCTTTCTTTCCATCTTTGTCAAACAGAACACCGAGTACAGTCACAAGACTAAAACTGGAAGATATGTGCCCGACTGCAGGATATGTGTGTGTGTGTAATTACTCAGAGGAACAGTGCGTCCAAAAAAAAAAAAAAAATCACTGAATGTTTTTACGTTTTTTTCTTTTTTTTTTTTGCTTTTACAGCAAGAAGAAAATTATTTTCTTGATTCGTGTGATTTGCCTTCCTTTGGGTGTCAAATAACAAAGAAAGGGCCCAATGAAGAAGCAAAAGCCGAGGAGCTGGAGATGCAGCATCCAAAAGACATGCAGAGGTGAATAATAAGTAATCATTTCTACAGAGAAATTCACAAAGACTTTATATCATCAGCAGGTTTTAACAAACCTTAAATGAACTGGTTGATCAAAATAAGCATTTCATATTTGTTTTAAAAAGCTGCTTAAAAAACCCAGTATATAATGATAATTACAGGTACATAACATATTCAATCAGTTATTGAGACCATTAAAACATTGTATTTATGATCTAATCATATCCAAGTTTACAGACAAGGATTTTCAAATAATTATGTAATTCTAAACTAAATACAAAGTTTAGGTGCGTTATAAAGCATCCCTTCCACATAGGCATGGGCAAAAAAACAAACAAACAAACAAAAAAAATCGATTCAATGAATCAATTC